TCAGCTCATAGGTTGCCTCGACGAGAGGGATAGCTTGACGGCATTGTACGTCACGAAGGTCAAAGGGGGTCCCCTGGGAGGCTTATCCTGCCGCTGTACTATGGATAGAGCAGGAAATTAGTAGATTTCAGGTGTTCCGTCCGTCGCCTTTGTCCTCATAGCCTCTACCAAACTCACATAACAAAAGACGCCACGGGGAAATGCCAAGACTCGGGGGCCTTGCCAAGCACCGATATCCGATCCCCGCTAGTGTCGGTCTATCGCTTACCCCTGCGCTTGACTACAAACTTGACTGGGTGACTAGGTACTCGGTGCTCGTAGTTCTACCACTACCACGACCACTACTGAATAGGTACTCGGTCCTATCAAAACATCTTCCCAAATTGCATCTTGACCTTCCGGACCTAACTTCCCCTTGCTGGGGTTCCCGGACAAAATCCTTCGAACCAGTCCCCCGACCTCCCGCCCTACTAGTCAGTACGCCGGCCCATGCGAGCCTGAGAGTTTCCAGGATTGAGCAACTGGGCTTCGAGCCCTTCCACTGCCCTTCCGTCAGGCTCCACATGAAGCGAAAGTCTCTTATCATCGCGCCCATGTCAAGATCGCATCTTGTATTAGACTATGCCAGGTCCTTAGAGAAGACGGGGAAAGCTTGATTCAATGTCGAGGAACTCACGATCAGAGACTGACTTACAGCACGCGAGGACGATGTCTCGTTACGTACTTCTGTGAATCCACTAGCAATGTGGCAGAGTATCAGCCTCTGCCTCTCGATCGGGACGCCATGCCGAGCAGTCCCTGGACCAGATGAACCTGGTATCCCTTCAATGAGTGGTCCCGTCAAAATCTGTCAAATGTTTCAGCCTCACATGCATCTCTCTTCTGTTGGACATTGCCAGCATATTTGCCCCAGTTTGCCATGCCCGAAAAGGTGAGGATATGCCGTTCCACGAAGGTCTCCAGAGCGCCGACCACCGGTCGCTCAAAAGAGTGACCGCCATTTCTGTACCAGTCAATCCAGACCACGTTTGGTGGTGAGCTGAAAATGTTTGCTATGTCAATCACATTGTTCTTATATCCGCAAGAACATGGGAATACGGTTGGCCTCTAGCTTCAAACGGCGAAATGGTTAAACGTTCAATCTCGCTTGAATACTACAGATTCAAACGGGGGACGAATTGTCTCCCACAATTATTGAGTTTAGAGCAACACCGACTGCCGCTGCCGCTGCCGCTACATGTCACGGTGGACAACGGCCTCGTGGCAGCAGGCATGAGGTCGAAAGGTTCTCTGCCGTTCCCCAGCAGGTCCACTGCCCTGTTTCCATCCGCATACTCGTCCACCAACGACTAAACGCCTTTATGGATACGGGGCACTGAACACTGGCTGGACCCCAACGGGTGTCGGACTCTATTGAGCACACTTAACGGTGGCGTCCAGGAGGACAAAAGAGCCAGCATCAGGCAGCCTTTCGTCTGTCTTACAGCACTCGATCTCCCTTCTCCTTGTTGGGAGGGGGGCTTGCAAAGGCTCTGGCCAGTGGAGAGTAGGTCCGCCGTTGCTCATCTGTGCCCTGATACTTGTGGTAGTGGCGCTGCAAGGGGGACCAAAGGGAGAAATGAGCGGTCTCAAACCCTTCATTCCATTCAGCTTCATGGATGGTGAGTTGGATTTCCGCGTGGTTGATATAAATATCGTGTCCTCCCAGCCGTCTCAGTTCTTTCTTCAGGAATTTTAGGTTGCTCAAGAGCTGTACAACCGAAGCGGAAACTTCACCCCATCGTCGTCCCGTTCCCACCGATATAATTTCTTCCTACTCTCCACCTACATCGAGGCAGCTTCACCACGAGGCCCAAGCACCATGGCTTCCCCTCCAGCACCCAAACCCCAGATCCCTACTACCTTCAACGGACCTATGCAGGTCATCGGTGCCGGTCTTCCTCGTTGTGCAACAACCACTCTCAAGGAAATGCTCGAGAACAAATCGCTCCTCAACGTAGGACCAACCATGCACATGAACCGCTGCCTCTCCTCTCCTATGAACATGCGCCTCCTCTACGACGCCCTTCGCGAAAAGGACACGCAAAGACGTCGGGCCATCCTTTACAAGCTCTTCGCTGGCTGCGCGGCAACAGCAGACTTCCCCGGTCATCTGTTCGTCGAAGACCTGATCGAGATGTACCCCGATGCCAAAGTGGTACTGAACATCCGCAAGGGCGGTGCTGCCGATTGGGAGACCAGCATGAAATCGACCATCGCCCCGTTCATGAGCTGGCAATACCGAGTGGCTTGCTTCTGGAGCATCCCGGATTACTGGCACTATCAATGCGAGATCGAATGGCAACGATTCTGTAAGGAGAAGTTTGGCGCAGACAATTTCTGGAGTCAAGAAGTGTACGACAAACACAATGCCTGGGTGGTGAAGCTGTGCCAGGAAAGAGGCAGGAAAGTCCTTCTTTGGGAACCCGCCATGGGCTGGGCGCCGCTGTGTGAGTACTTGGGCAAGAAGGAACCCGAGATCGACGTCCCGAGGACCAATGATCGGGGAAAGATGGAGAAGGTGGTCAGTTGGAGGATCAGTCTAGGGTTGAAGCTCTGGATGAGCAAGATTTGTGTGCCAGTTGCCGTTTCTGTCCTGGGTGGGTATGGGGTGGTGAAGGCGATGCAATTGTGAGGGAGTCTGGTGTAGTAGATGGAATGCAAGGGTAAGAGACTGGCTTTTGTGTTGGTTTTCAATATGTATTTGCTGTTGGTATAAAGGCAGAGTGGGTAATGCTTGGGTCCTGTGGCGTCTGAGGAGCTGCCTCGATACTTTGGCCGTTTCTGGGTTGATAATAATTGACTCCTTGGTTTGATTATAGTCGGTAGTCGGGATATGTGAAACAAAGAACTGTACTCGGTAGTCAGTGGTGAGAATGTATTAGTACCAAATGCTTTCCCTCCAACCAAGATATCCCATCTTCTCCCAACTCCCTTCAAAGCCCCCAATCACTGTTCACGACTGTTTACACATCAGCCCCGGAATCAGCGCAGTCGCGTACATGACCGCGGTGATGGGCATCAGCTCGGCCATGCGACCTTGCAACTTCTTGGTCGGCACGGGGACCAGGCCCGTGTCTTCCCAGGTTCTGCAGATCAAGTCGGGAAGTTCGCGAATGTCGGCGTCGACCAGTTCGTCTTCGCGGCACAGACCGTCCTCGTCGGTCGCGCTGGAAAGGGCGGCCTTGAGCCCGAGCGCGGTCCCGAACTCGCGGAACGCGAGGCGTCGATCCACCGGCTGGTCAAAGTAGTCGTTCTCCAGCAGCTGCTTGACGCAGCCGATGGCGCGAGAGGTCAGATGGGTGGCCCACTCCTCCTCGGGCGTGCACCAGTGCGCGGTCCACAGCGTCATGCCCAGGTCCAGAGTGTCCGCCGAGGTGTAGTCGCGAAGTTTCTTGTCGACGATCCTCTTGAACAGGGAGACCTCGTCGCTCAGGATCTCTGGGTCGTCAGGGTTCGTGGACTGGAGGAGCTGGTACGTGACGTAGCCGTCGAGCGGGTCGAGGTTGCCCTCGGTCAGGACGAGGGGCTGCGAGAGATCCGTGCTGAGTTTCCAGAACATGCGGGGCCGGTGTGACTCGGTGTTGGACATGAAGTGTGGGAGGATGGCCTGTGCCATGGTGATGGCTTGGTCGTTGTACCACCTGTCTCCGCTGACTACGCTCGTGCGGTTGAGGGCGAACATCCACACGGTGAGATAGTGGAAGTATTGGCCATCGCCGTCCTCGCCGGACTCGTCGTGTTTGCCGATCCGGAGCCCTCCTTTGAGGGGATACTCGTCCGTGGCGCCGGGCAGACGTGATTTGCCGTTGCGCGTGTAACCCAAGATGTTATGGACGGTGGTGATGAGGTTCTTCGCAAAGGTGAGGTAGCGGTCCTCGTTGGTGAGCTGATGCAGGGTCAGGAAGTTGACGACGGCGAACCCGTCGGTCCAGAGATAGCGGCCTCGATGGCCCTCGGCCGCCGGCGGAGGGGTCCATTTGGAGAGATTCTGGTCTGTTGCTTCCGGTAATGGCCCATAGATGGACTCCATGGCCTGGAGGAATTTCGGGAGGTTTTCCCTGTCATCGGACGCCATGGCGGGATAATTCGTCGCGGTTAGGTAAGCAAGGCCGAGATAAAACTCAAGAATATGAGATCGTCCTTTGGGGTGCGTGAGAGATGATAAGCTATTGTGAGCATTGATGCACGGTTGAAGAAGGATGGATCAGCATCAAACAAGCCCAGCTGATGAAGGCATCCGACTCGCAGACAAGTAGTTGAGCGTGAGGAGCTTGGAGTCAGTGATGCAAGATGACCTTCAATTATTAACCGGATAGTCCCTCTGCGATAAAGGGAGAATACAAGTAGCTAGGCAGGCTTCTCTGGTGGTTTTTGTTGATGATATGAGCGACAATGATGTATTAATATCGATGGATCGACAAATTATCATGCCACACACAACTTGGGTGTGTGCCACATGTCACAAGATTTGGAAGCCATGCAATCGCCCATACCAAGTCCCAGTGATACCAGTGGTGCCAGGCTGTCCAAGTACGTGCCAGTATACCTGTATATGGGTGGAGCCTGAGATTTCCTCGGAACTCGCATGTGATTAGTTGATGGTCCCGGAACCGGCAAAGTTTATCCGGCTCCGGCCGAAAGAGGGAAGCACTCTGCTCCATTGCGCAATCTTGGCGGCTCTTGGCACGGATGCCCCTCACTGCGCATGGCGATTTGCATCATGCGAGCCCCTCATTTCCAGGTTCAATTGCTTCATCGTACATTGAAATGTCCGCTTGTAGGAGGGTTCGTTCTTCTTAACTCCACCGACGCTCTGATTACTTCCTTGGGGTTCCTCCTTTCGTGAAAACTCTTCCGGTTTCCATCTTCTTTGAACAAGCTCGTCATCATCTTCGCTTCACTTGGTACATTCTGTAACAGTCACCTTTACTCGCACAATCACTATCTAAACCGCCAAAATGGTCAAAGCAGGTCAGTCATTCCCCAAAACACCGGTACCTGTACCCTACGGGCTGTCCCGCCCATGAGTCCTGTTCTGTCAGCATCGAATCAGTCCGGCTAGAACACTCTTCCATCTCCGCGTTGAGACTCAAAGCCGTTCCAGCTCATCCCATCTACGCCCTTTCACGAGCCTCATCATCACTGACACCTTTCCTCCTTAGTTGCTGTCATCCGTGGAGACTCCAAGATCACCGGCCAGGTGACCTTTGAGCAGGCTTCCGAGTCGTCTCCCACCACCATCACCTGGGACATCCAGGGCCACGACCCCAACGCCGAGCGTGGCATGCACGTCCACCAATTCGGTGACAACACCAACGGCTGCACCAGCGCTGGTCCTCACTGTACGTCTCCCCAACGCTATCGGACCGGAAGGCTTCAAGAGAAAGAGAGAAAAGGAAGGGCGAGATACTGATGCTAGATTTCCTTCTCAGACAACCCTCATGGAAAGTCCCACGGAGCCCCAACCGATCAGGACCGACACGTCGGTGACTTGGGCAACATCAAGACTGATGCTCAGGGCAACGCCAAGGGCAGCGTCAGCGACAGCTTTGTCAAACTGATTGGCGAGCACAGCGTTCTCGGCGTACGTATTTCCAAAACAAAGACCCCCTCTCAGCATCTCCTTGCTAGTCATATTCTCATGTCTACACTATATTTGAATAGAAACTAACATGGCTGATAGCGAACCATCGTTGTCCACGCGGGTACTGATGACCTCGGCAAGGGCGGGAATGAAGAGAGCAAGAAGACCGGCAACGCGGGTCCTCGACCTGCTTGCGGGGTCATCGGCATTGCCGCATAAAGTGACATGATACTGACACGAAAGCCTCGAGCACCATGTCGCCATTTGCCCATTCCGATGGGAACCAACATCGGACTCATCCACTAGCAGATGAAACTGCAGGAGAGGAAGATCTTGAAAGACAACGAAAATTCGACGACCGGGAACATAGTCAATTGTGTCAGGATACCGAGAGTTGAACAAAGATCAATGGCAAACATGGGATGCTCTGGTTTGTGTGTCGAAGTTACGCTTTTAAAACCAAAAGTGGCTTCCAGCTATCTTCCTGTACGCAATAAAGGGTCCAATATAGATAGCAACAATTGTAAGCACAGATTATGATATCTACCACCCACAGTCATGTCCGTCCGTCTGAAGTTATCATTATATATATGCTGATTGTAGGGGTATTTTCCGCATGGCGTTTGAACTCCAATCCGTAGCACAGCCAGGCTCCAGAACGTCTAGGCCGCAGCGACAAAGGCAGAAGAGTCCCACGCCGCGCCGTTCAAAGATGCAAAGCAAGGTGTCTTGATGCTCCCAAAACAAAATGGTAACAAGCCTGCCAGTAGCGGAGTCGAATATGCCAAATCATCCGCCCACCTCCATGTAAGCTTCCGTGTCGCACATCGTGAAAGCAAATTAGATAGATAGCATTGAGTGGTCGCATTGTGGAGCTTGGAGGAACAGCCTCAAGCGGTCTCTTCCTCATCTCCTGACAGAGACTCGAGACTGAAGCTGGAGTTGTTTTACACCTCCGTCGCAGTCACGAATCTCTCCATAGCTGGCCGCTCGCTTTCCCCGTTTCGCTCCCCTGCCTCTGAAATCGTCAGTTTCTGGGCCTCGATCGCTAGTCCTTTGCTCGCGTCGCTCGCCACAAGCACTTCGGGGTTTCCCTCTCCGTGGACCGTGGCGTTGCCGTTCATGTGACCATTGGCGGTGGGTGGGATGGCTGAGATTGATTCTTGAGCAAGTTTTGCCTCGATAGCGGTCGTCATGGCGATGGAGTGTGCAGGAAGAGGACCAGGTTCAGGTTGGGATGGCGGATGAGGAAGCGGTTCTGACTTCGACGGCGCTGTCGATTGTGCTTCTGTGTGTGGAGTTTGTGCTTGCTGCTCCGAATTCGTTTGGGTCGCAATAATATTCGCAACTGTGGCTCCTCCAGCCGCTGCAGCTGAAGCTTGTTCAGCTTCATGATGGGGTGAGGCAGTTCCATTGGGCACTGGCGGCCTCTCGCTCGAAGACACTTTTTTGTCCGGATGGACGGGATTTTCCGTGTAGTCCGCCGCGTAGACAACAGGCTTCATCTTTTCAATGTCTCGATTTGGGCGCCTGAGTTTGCCCTTGTCAGATCCGACGGGCACTCTCTGCCCGTCAAGCCAAAGACAGGGCCCTGTGACCCAGCCTTTGTTCCCATCTCTCTCCAAAGCTGCCCGGGTTTCATCGTCCAGATCGGGTAGATCACCCCATTCCCAGTTGAGATCGCCGCCATAACGCTTTGGGAAGTCCTTGGTTTCCATAAATTTTTCCAAGGTAGGTTTCACGTCATTTTTGCTGAGAATGAAGATTTTGGAGACGGTTACGGGGTCAAACCAACGTTTGATCCAGCCCCAGACTGTTGGAAAGAAACCGGGCGCGCCAATTATCTGGCCACAGTTAGCTCGTTGTACCCCGGGAACTCCAAGTGGAGGGTTTGCTCACAAAAATCCTGTCCAGGGTTTCCGGGTAATGTGCTGTTGCTAAGACAGAGGCATCCTGCATATGGGCCTTTAAATTCCAGAACTGTGTCAAACCCACCCCCGAAATATCGACAATATTTGTAGAGTTTGTCACAGGGACTTCAGGATTCGGCCTCTCGAGGGTAGAAACGAGCGGTAGGACGAAGTTGAGCAGATTCTGGTATAGGGCGAACAGGGGCAGCAGTTTGGCGGGTGTGGAGAGATTCTTGTGGTTCGGAAGGCTGTCCTTGTAAGCTTGCGAGTCTTTCTGGTATCTCTGTACGTTTTTGCTGTCAAGGCCCTTGATCAAGAACACGTAAATGGGGATGCCTCGTCTGTCCCGGTGGCCAGTCCATTGAGGATACTGTCATTTTGAAAAACTGTCAGATAGCTGTCGCAAATCTTACTGCGTGTTGCCACCGGATTTGCTGGCTTACCATCAGCCGAGCCTTCTCATACGACTCAATATCAAAGTTGTCATAAAGCTCTTCTACCCGTTGCTCTTTGAGCCATTGCTCCGTGTCGGTAAACTGCCCAATTGCACCTTTGACGTCGAACTTCCGGGCGCGTAAGTATCGACTGTAATGTACAAGTTAGCGGGGAATCAACGCGTTGTTTGCATATAGCTCAAGATGGGATCGTACAGTAGAGTTGCATCATCATGGCTGGGTTTGCCATTGACACCATCGGGCTTCCACCACCCCCCTTCTTGCAGGCGCTGCTTAAACTCTTGGAGCCTTTGTTCTTGGATAGGATTTAAATGATTCAGGGTGCCGTTGAGAGGGTCTGCAGTGGTCGTTCTCGTCAAGCTCGGGTGTGCATGTGTACCAATGGAATGATCCGACGTTTGCGATTGACCGGTCAGGGTTCGGTAGAGGGTGCTCATCTCGGTGTTGAAGGGTGTTGCGAAGTATCCAAGGAAATAGTGCTGTGGGCAAAGGTTTTGGAGACTCTAGGATTGGTGGGCAGGGTACTCGGTACAGATAGATAGGTAACACCTCTGGACTGCTTGTAATGGAGTGACCAAAGAATAATCTGGGTATCAATAATTCATTATAATAAGAGGAATGGATGGTGTTTGCAGTCGAGAGCTTCTACACCGCAGGGACGAAGATGTACGAGGTATGATATTAGGCGTGCCAAAGAGAAGCCCTTTTGCTCAAGAAACCCTTTTTTGGGCCATGATAAAATTATCTTAGCGACCGAACGGGCTGGCCGGAACGAATGTCCAAGAAGGCCCAAGGGGGACGGGAAATACAGGGGCACCAGGGGAGAAAACGATGACCGTGGTGATGGGATGAAGGAACAAATCAACAAATCTGATTGAACTGGAAAGGTGACGCTGATATCATCCTGCCACCTGCGACCCTCCAAAATGCGGCTTTCGACCTGGCGACTTGGCAATCTGCATCACCACTTTTTATTCCTTTGTTGTGCAGCAATCCATGCACCGTCCACAGTGGTCAACAGTGTCCAGGCAAGTTGTCCAGGGCCTTCGCCACCCCCAGAACTGACTCGCCTACAGGCTTCGGCTATGCCTGGACTCGTCCCTATCCCCCTCCGACGCCTCAACCTAGTCGGTGCCCAGTCTGCCCAGTCCATCCTGTCCACTCGGCGACTCGGAGAGCGAAGGGCATAAAATGATCCCGAGTCACGGTATGCGGATGCATACATCGGCCGAGAAGTTGGAGTGACCATGGCTCAACACCCACTATTACAGACCTAAAGCAATAAAATAAGGTGCACAGAAACATTGATCTGCGTCATTTTCCCGCTGGCACACACCGGCGTCTTTGGTTGGGACCACGGTCAACTCCATCCTCGACCCTTTTCCGACTTTGTCAGGGTACCAGACGCGCCCTGGCAATGTTGATGATTATGATGATGATAATTAGCGGGGTTCTGATGGATTCTGGTGACACTGGCGGCTCCAGATGATGCTCTATTTTCTGCTTCTGATACTTCACGCGTATGCTCGTACTTACTTGTACACCATCGAACATCAACCTCCACAGTCACAACGAGGGTGTGCAAGTTTCTTGTCCGCCTCGGTTCCTTGCCGCCTGCTCCTGCTAACATTTCGCCACGCCTTTAATCGTCCTATTCCTTGCACCTACGGGTATAAGATGAGCTGCGATCGAATGCAGAACGACCACGCTCACACAATTCTTGGTCACAATTGGAGTAAATGTTCACCCTTGTCAGCTGAAGTAATGCTCGAATCGCCTCAAATAAGCAAGACCCGTTTGGGGACTGTGTCGAGAGGCTATCCACCATCCCAAGATAGCCGACGAGGCTGCCAACCCCAAGGACTGATATACGGCCGGGTTTTCAACCTCTTTCTCTCCACGGACATTGGTAGCTTGCGACTCTCTCATAAACAGACGGATATGTTGTCGGGTCAGTAGAATAGGGGTCGGCCCAAACATCCTTGGATAATCAAGCCCTATCATGCACACAATAACTCCCTCCGCCTGTGTCTTGTTGCAGTTGATTCTGGATCTGCTCCTCATATTTTCGAACCTCGTCGTCGACATGAGTTCTATCATCCTGTCATTCTGGAGAGCCGTGCATGGACTTTTTGAGAAGAACGGCATGACACCTGCTTGTATAGCTCAGTTGCTGGTCCATCCTCTTCCCGACGAGCCTCTGGAAGGAAAAAGAATGGCACAGTCTGACAGAATGTAGATGCCCTCATAAAAGCGATGAGGTGGGCGCCAGATCAAATATAGCTGATATTATTGAGGATAGGAGGCCATTATACCTAGTGATGGTTACCTGTGAGCCAGTATTTGCTATTTCTCGTCAGACTGTTTCAAATGACATGTGCAGACAAACGGTGAAGCGCAGATGCTGAAAACGCAACGCTAGCGCCACCTCCAACCGACTTGTCACGGCACTCCGATCTCAATTGCACCCTTCTTCATACAGCCTTGAACGCCTCAACTGACCATCCCGCTGGAAGACCTCAGCCGCCTCATCTCCCTTCCTTAGGCACTCTGCCAGCTCCTCCTGCAGCTCCGGCAGCCCCTGCCCGCCATGGCCAAACCCGTCTGGAAAGGCAACCACCCCGTCCGGCAAATCAACGCAGCACCGCCGTTCTACAGATTCTGCGCAACAGGATTAGGCGCCGCCATGTGGTTCTTTGTGAGTTCTGATACTGGTTACTCACCGCGCCCGTGACTCCTGTGGGGGTCGCTGAGCTGGAGCTGAGCTGACGATTTGGGGACGTCCAGCTATTCTACAGAGCGAAGAAAGACGGCCCTGCCCTGATCGGCCTGAAGCACCCTTGGGACCACTAGA